CATAGCATAGCGGCGGCCGAGGTGGTGGGCCAGGGGGGCGATGATCGGCCGAGGAAACTCCCGGACGAGGAATCAGTGAGTAAATGGACCCTGCAATAAGTTGTGTTGAATCATTCAAGAGCTGGATGACAATGTGGGGCATCACTAGGGTGATGATGTGTATGCATGTGTGTGTGCGCGCAAACTGGGGTTGTGAGTATGAAGTACAAAATTGCACAAAAATCGATACGATCATATCAAAGGACACGACATTTTCAAGTTGCGCAATTATATTTGGCTTGATTGGTTATGATAGAATTCGATATGGTACGGCTGTAGCTTTTATAGTGTATATTATCCGATCCCACGCTGCCCGTACACAAGTCAGGCGAGTGTACCACTACACTATCAGTGACTTCATGTATATTAAAGTTCATGAAATTCAAAGAAACAATAAATCATCCGCAACATCAACAAGGCTATTTTATACAGATTTATAGGTGTTATGCATCTCTCATAAAAGGTGATCCGATACATAGCTCCTAAGAATCACGATTTGATATGGCTTGATTAAATCAAAATCGATTTTTGATTCAAAATATCAATTGATTCAAAATATCTATCTATCTATCTATCTATCTATCTATCTATCTATCTATCTATCTATCTATCTATATATATCTATATATATATAGATATATATATAGATATATATATAGAGAGAGAGAGAGAGAGAGAGAGAGAAATTTAGCATTTTTTATTATAAAATTCGTTAATATGATGGTGCTGGGCACACGCTGTACTTGTCAATCACGGACTGGTGGGCTGGTGGATGTAGTACCGCTATTGCCCCTCTGGAGGGCAGTAGTGTTCTACTTTTGCTTATTATCTTTTCATTTACTTACATTGTTCATTTAGTGCCAGTTTCAGAGAAAACAAGTTGCGTATTTCAGAAGAACTAATGGAATGTTTATAAGGGGAAAACAAATTCTGAACAATTTTATGAAAATGTGTACATTTGCAGGGGAAAAAAACGGTGCTGTTTTCACAAAAGTTCTGATTGGTAATAAATTTTTAAGAAAAATAAAAATAAAATAAACAAAACGAGTAATATAATTTGAAGAGAGGCAGCATTTTTCGGTTCTATTTTTTCTGTTTATTTTAATATTTTAGTCAGTAAAAAAAGTCTATTTTAAAAGAAGAAATCCGGGGAATCAACATATTTTTAATATGTATATTTCCAAGAAAAAAAAAAGTCTTTTTTTCCTCATCTATTCTGTGGAATGAGCTGATGCTTCCAATGGCTGACATCAGACCACAGGAATGATTTTGAATTGAGAAGTGTTGAAAAGGCTCTGTGATCAGTTACCACACACACACACACACACACACACACACACACACACACACACACACACACACACACACACACACGCACCTGTTGTCCAGCTCTCCAACACTGGCCTTCGGCGTATATCAGCAAATAATAATCAGAATACTAATAGCGACCCTGGCACACTTGTCCAGTCATCGCAAGGTTAATGACATTCCATCTCACACACACACACACACACACACACACACACACACACACACACACACACACACACACACACACCCCCCCCCCCACACACACCCCCACACCCACCCCCCCACCCCCGCCATGATTGCGTAACAAACAACTGACGATTGATGCTCACTGTATGCCAGCAAGGTCATTCATGAAAGACCAAAAACAAACAAAAAAAAAAACAATCACTAGATTGAACAGAATGACTGTGGAAAGAAAATGCCGCAATGGGTCTCTTTTGACAGACAAGCTTGTTTGCAAGTGGCGGAATGCTTTCGTGGTGCTGTAAGACTGGCTGAAGAAAGACGTGGCTTATATAACATTTTGATTGGATGAAGCACTCAATGAATCACTTTGGCCCCCGAGACGCTATTTCTGATCGGGCCGCTGGGTTTTTCAAAAGTTCCTATTTCACGTGCACCCTCAAATGCTCCAACTCCAATTTAGCCACGTTTGCATACTTTTTTTTTTCTTTTTGTCATGACGGTGAAACCATATCAGGAAGTCAAGCATAATTGTTTCTTCAACTATTTAAGTTACCGTATTTTCCGCACTATAAGGCGCACCTGAAACATTCAATTTTCCCAAAAGCCGACAGTGCGCCCGACAATCCCATGCGCCTAATGTAATGTGTTACACAGTCTCTTCATATTCCCATTGAGTTGTTTCCGTTAGTGTTCCTATGCCACCTAGTGGTGATTATTAGCACTGAACGCCGTTTTCCGGAAAGAATTTGACTTTTATTGTCCCTAAAGCATGCAAGGGCACACGCGTTGACCCAATTTAAACCACACAATAACTCACGAGACGAGGGGTTATTTGTTGCCATGCGAGCAACATAAATCTCACAGACGTGGCCTGATAAGCGCCTTATCAAAAAAAGAAAAAAATGCTGAATGCACAAAAGAAGTAGGAAACGCTTCACAGGGCATACTGGAGCATTTTACACTTCATGTCGTTGCTTTTGAAGTGCTTCTTAGTCATGCTGTTTGTTAATTTAGCTTTGGCAAACATTTGTTCTGACTTTCACAGAGCTCAGCTTTAATCTTCTCTTGATCCTCTTTGGCTCACATTTCACGCTTTATTGGCTGACGTCCCGCTTAATCAGTTAATAAAGCCATTTATTAAAATATACGACCTCACAATACACATTTTTAGGACAGACATTTTCGTGTTTTTCTTTCTGAAAAAAATATACAACTTTTTGAAAATGTGGAACTTTTGTCACAAATAATTTCTGCATACTTTCTTTCAAATCACTTTTTTTCCTCCATCATATTTGAATATTTTCGGAAAACAATGGATTACCAAGCACACTGCTATTTTTCTTAATATTGTGAGAATTTATTTATTTATTTATTCATTGCATAGCCCGCTTTTTGTTCCCTTGGGCGTCATGGGCGCTGATCATTGCGCCTTCTCTACCTGCTGAAAGCCCAAGCAGGAAGTTCGACACACTGTACATACAGGCCTGATGTGCTTAAAGGGGGTTGTTTTACATTCCACAATACATGCCCCCCCCCCCCCCACGCACCCACCTCCTCACATGTGAAGCGGGGGTCTCAAGTTGGATTGCGTGCAAAGTCCTAATTTTTGCTCCGTTTTTCAGTCTGTGGAGTCAAGAGTGCTTGATTTGAGCTACCATGAAAGTATGCATCATTAACTCTGGCCAAAATGGAGGTGAAAGACGAGTCATGAGGGGTCTCAGTTTTCAGCCGTCGCCGTTTCATTTCTGCGAAAAAATGCGACTCTGTGACAAGAAAAATGTTTTTTCTTCTTTTTTTTTTCGGTCCCACAGAGACGAGCAAGCCCAATTCAGCTTAACCTTGAATGAACGCAATGCAATGTTCTAACAGACGCTTCATCGGGTACACCTGCACTGTCAGATGAGATCCATGAAGCAGAGCCGAAAATAGAAATTGCATACGACCGTATTACTTATTTTTGTTTGAAGTAGTACTAAAAAAAATAAATAAATAAATCTGCCGGATTTTTTTTCCCCCTAAAGTCTTCTTTCTTGCTGTCTGTTAGCGTATGTACTGCTAGCAAGTTAGCGTTTTATCATGTTTAGTTGTATCGACGACACACTTGGTTTGCCATGTTGCTATATCAAAGAATAACAATCGTTTGCATGTTAGCATTTGCTAATTTTAAGGCGTAAAATCATGATCCTCCAAGCTAAGTGCTTTCTACAATCGTATTTTTGGTGTACTGGATGTGAGCATGTAGGCTGCTACGATGTTTGCAGTTTATTCAGTCAACTTGACTTGACTCATTCACTCACATTTATATTCACCAACTGGAATCCAACCGTTTACTGCCCAGCGACAAAGCTATTCTTCATCAAGTGTGTTTTTCAATGGGTAGGCGGACGAGGGTGCAATTCTGGTTTGTAAGTCACCGCAGTGACAAACGCAGCCCTGTCACCGGCGCCATTGCGTCACTTTGGATTTTGGATTTCAGTTTTTGAGTCGAAGATCGGGATTAGGTCTGATTTTGGGCTTGTCACAATGATTTCGGGGGAGAAGAAATGTCAAGTTGGACGTTCTTGGCACCTGTCACTTGAAACAGCGAATTTTTAGTGTAGTGTGAACAGAGTATCTGCCGCGGTGTGTCATGGAAAGTGTGCCGCAATTGTGAGAAAAGATGACCGAGTTTATGGAGTGAATGATTAACGCCATGTAGAAAAGCCACCGCCGTTTAATTCGATTGAGGATTTGACCCAGCATGTTGGGTCAAGATTTGGATCCAACAAAGGGTAAAAATTCACTGCTGAATTCAAGCAACCCAAGAAATGGGTTTTTCGGTTATCAGTAAATCTCTGGTTGAAAATATTATTAAATTAGCTCACACTATTTTCTGAGAAGATCCAATTGACTGCACCCCTTTTTGCATCGTGTTAGCATATTAGCATTCTGCTCAATAGGCTTTGCCAGCCCCGTATCCCGGAACTGAAAACGGAAGCCACTTAGGCGCGATAAAAAGTCACGTAACCACATTTTGCTTACATCATCCTCATGTTAGTGCCATGTGGAAGTGGAGCGTCACGTAACGAAAGTGCTCAGCGACGAGCGACCTGTCTCGGGCTCACGGCCAAGCCGGGGCTCTCCCGCATCGGCACCTGGGGGCCTCGCTCGTGCTCACTTGACGCCACCGACAACATGGCATCCTGCCTGCGCCGCGCCAGCACCGTGTATGCATTGGCAGGTGTTCAAACGCATCCTGCACACACGCAACATGTCCGACCTACTTCGGATCGCCAGGTCACTGAGCTCGGTTGTGAAACAGCCACCCCCCCGGATAAATACCGTATGCTAACGCTCACTTCAACTCATGTAAAATGACGAAAAGACTTATCAACGCCTACCAGAAGGGTACACCAGATTAAAAGGTATATCGGATGTATATTTTGTCAAATGTTCCAGCGTGGTGACTTGAAAAGGTCTTTTTT